TCTCTCTCTCTCTCTCTCTCTCTCTCTCTCTCTCTCTCTCTCTCTCTCTCTCTCTCTCTCTCTCTCTCTCTCTCTCTCTCTCTCTCTCTCTCTCTCTGTGTGTGTGTGTGTGTGTGTGTGTGTGTGTGTGTGTGTGTGTGTGTGTGTGTGTTGTATATGGCGTGCACGTGACATGGAACAAATGGCGATATTAATTACTGCGATTTGCCATCTCCGATACTGAAATCGACCCCTATTAATCTGAGCTTACACCTTTCGTTCGCCTGCCTTTTGCTTGCTTCGTGAGAATAGATCCATCCTTGTTTAAAGTTATCAATATCGCTTTATGAATTTTTTTAATCCATGATTATCCGTTTCTCCAAAGCACAAGCGTCTATTTTTTTATAATATTCTAAGTAAATTAGATATCTAATTAATCTTATTAAGTGAATTAATTTTTGAAAATAAATACATTTAAAATTGCATAAATTAATTTTATAAAAAAATATAATAATTATATATAATGCATATCCATCCATTTTTTTTAATTATATCTAAAAATAGATCCTAAGAATTATTATCAGCAAATAATAAATAGATTAACTGAAATAATAAATAGATTAACTGAAATAATTGTTTGAAAAGTAAATAGTAGGTTAACGCAAATAAATAGTAGGCTGTATTGTGTATAATATTATATATAACATAAATAAATGTACTTTATCGTATATGCAAATAAACTTTTAATCACCTATTTTTCATTTCACGTTTTCCCCAAAAACAATCGATAGAATCAATATAGTATATAGTTCAACTTGCTGAATATTTGGTATTGACTTTTCGTTACGGATCATTCGTCAAACGAAGCGGCGCGAAACGATGCAACTGGTTTACATTCCAGCGAGAAATATTTTTTGTTAAACATTGCCGTCATGCTTTGCTCAAAAGCTACTTTCAAATCTGCAATTTACATAGTATAGCTGATGGCATAGTATAGCTGATACATAGTATAGCTAATGGCATAAACGATGCAATCGTGACCATAAAATTAAAAGAATTTAACAACTAAAATAATCTTTCCAGAAAACAAAACATTACATACTAATAATAGATATATCTGAAAAAGAGCGTACGTTGTAACCACGCTACAAGTAAACAATAAAACGTAATTTTAATTTGATATATAAATAAATCTAATAATTGAAATAATTATAAATATAAAAGTGACTTTTGTTCTATGTATAGTGACTATGCATCAAACGCATAAAAGTATATATAAAACAATATAAAAATACAATATAAAATTTTTAAAAAGTTTTAAATACCATAACTGGAGATTATATTTTTTTAATTTTGCAAAAAATTATATTTTCTACTCTGACTAAAAAGCAAAATTTTTTTATAATAATGATTAATAAAACAATATGTAAAATAATTATAAAAAAAATCTAGAATTTATTTATATAGAATATAGAATTTTTAAAGTATCGATGAATTATGAACAACGAAATAAGACAAGAGAGAAAGGAATAGCTCGAAATAAAACAACTTCGTACTACCCTAATCTAACGCAATTTCCTTCCCTTTCAACCTTCTCGAATCGTGCACTCATAACTTGGTAAGGTAGATTATCCCGAAGAGTCTGTTTCGTTTCATGATCCAATCTGTTTTTTTTCCCATTCCATCATTCGTCGCAGAAAAGCTTTTCAATTCAATTCTCGGACGCTTTAAATGTTTACATTCTAGAAATAGATTTCGTGATTTATGTAATAGAAATGTTCTTTCCTTTTATAAAGCATTTCTTATCATCTTATCATTAAACTGATAACTTAATTTGCTCGATTAATTAATTTCCGATATCTTTGAATCTTGAATTGTAAAATCTTTTATTGAAATTTACATTTGCTCATCAGAAAGCTTCGAA